GGTGGGGGGTCGACCCTTCGATGTTCAGCCTAAGGTAGAATTTGAACTTTGGTCTCCCGATCATGAGTCTGATGCGACAACCACTATGCTACCAGTGATCGGTCAAGAATCACTGAATCTTAGGCCCCCAGGAAGTATCAAGATGTGATCTGGGGGGGGGGGGGGTCATACATGCGACCTATGGGTGGAAGGTACAACTTGCCTTCCCTTTCTTCCCTTTCTTGTCTTCAAAGCCCATTTCATCTGCAAATGCTTCTAGTTGATCAATTTCACTAGCTGGTTCAGGTTTGACCATTTTTACTGGTTCTGCCACTGGTTCTGTACTCTTCATTCCGGAATCAATCTTCAAAGATTCAATATCATTCAGAATATCATCTTCCCTGGATGTGCAACACAAATAACGTAAATACTCACCAAATATAACAATAGGATTTCAGGTGGATGAAGAATGTGACTTAAATTGCCTCGGTCAAAAATATCTCATGGGGCATTAGTTGCAGAGTTTTTACCAAAGTTTTGCTCAATAAGGTCATGAGAGTCGGTAGAATTTGAGGCCAGATCACTTTTAATATTTTACAATTTTTTTACCCTTTGTGATGCTGCAAGATTCTTGCAAACTGCAAAACTCTAGGACTTTTGAATTTGAACGAAAAAAATGTATGGTTCTGTTACATACATGTTCATTGTATGTATCAAGATGGACAATATACAATATCATGACCAAGATCCGGCTCTGAAATGGCCATTAAAATTGCCGCCATTTAGCCATTTTGAATCAGATCATGAACTGAATGGACATGTATATGTATTCCAAGATATATGTGCACAGACCACACATTGATGAGATGTTACCCACTGTCCCATTCTGTGATGTACTCAAAAATTAATAAAAATTTGAGTCAATCTTCTGTAAGCCAAATATTAATTTTGACATTATTATAAAAAAAAAGAATCTTTTACCAGTTGTCATCTTTTCGTTTATTCTTCTTTCCTTTTTTACTTGGTTTGGCTACAGCAGCTAACATATCATCTTCTTCTGGACCAGTTGATGGCTTAGATAAAGGATCCAAGTCTATCTCTTCATCCCTATTTAGAGACATTACATAATAAAATATCAAAGAAAGCTTAGAAAGAACTCTGTGTGCTGAGAGTATTGAAGACACATTAAAATTAATTCAAAATTACTTGTACATGAGATATTGATGGAAAAGCTGAAAACTAATTATGTAAATCAGGTAACTAATATGAGCAGAACAGAACAAAAAAATTATGAATTATTATGCTAATTAGAGAATTAATATGAACAAATTTTAATCCAAAATTAATCGGGCCTGTCTATTGTCCTAGAGCATTTATGTACCAAATTTTATTCAAATGTGATGATCAGTAATTGAGATATCAGTGTTAATTAATTATATTAATTAGGTGATTAATAAGCATAAATATTTACCAAAAACTAATTAGGTTTCTGCATAGTTCTCTTTAAAAGTTTCATTAAAATCCAATTTGTGGTTCTTTATATATCAGTGGAACATTACGCAAATTAGGTAATTAATATCCAATTAAAACTTATCAGGTCTCTGCATAATCCTAGAAGATCTATGTAGCAAGTCTGAAAATTGATTAATGACACACACCCACACACACCCACATACACATACAGACACACTACATGTAACTGCAAAGACTCCCTTTTTGTGCTTCGCACACGGGAGTCAAAAATGGAAATAATACCAATGTGAATATAATCTCATGTTCTATTTGTTTTTAACTATTGCTGCTCTCTAATTATACAAATTATGCTCAGATGGCTCCTCATTGATGGAATTTGACAACCAATCAAAGCATGTCTTACTATAAAATGGCATGTAATACAAGTTCTGATTGGTTGCCATATGGATGTGATTTTGATAATCGTTTGGTCTGATATATTGATGGAAAATAAAAGTAAACACTGCCCTCTAGAGCTCATAATATAAATGATACATCAATAGACAGCCATTTTGAATTGTTCACATCTTCCATGTTTTGATATGAATACTTTATTTGCTCTATTGTAAAATACTAAATAAATTTTTGCTATTTCCACTGAAGGATTGATTCTGTGGAAATACAATCCAGCGAAATATACCTTTTTTCCTATACTTTACATTGTACTCGTCAAAAATCAGTGAAAATAAATTCCATACAAAACATCCAAAAATTCTTTTCAGCAAAAATCAATTCCAGGTAAAATAAAGTATTTTATAGCTTGTGAAGCACATGTAAATGACAGAGGTGGGTCTTTGAATAAACAAGCCATGCATGGCACAGTTCCTGTTAGTTATCAAATTTAAGATATAAAGTTTTGTTTATAGTAATATAGCTGGAATATAAACATGTCAGGAATATGATGATTGTTTAACATTTAAATGATTGACATTTGTATCTGATCGTCAAATGAGTATTGAGAGATATTGCTCTGGAACAGCATTAATTAAAACAAAATCAGCCATTATGAATATATGTATAATGAATATATAAAATTTGAACATAGTCAGTCAAAGCATGTCAGAGATATGGCTCTAGAAGCCCATTCATTAAAACAAAATGGCCACTAGTCAGCCATTCAGAATCCGATCTAAAAAATAAAACAAGTTTTTTAGCACAAAAATAGCGACCATTAGCCCCTTTGAAAAGGATCGTCAAACCAATATATCCGTATATCTGTGACATGATGTATAATGAATATTAAAAA